CTTAGAAAGATCTGCTTTCTCTACACCAGGACCATCACAACAGGAGCCTCCCTATGGATTGTGGCACCTCTGAGGTCTCTGCTCCTAGACTGGGGTCCTTTTTTATGTATATTCTTTTGTCTCTCCTTCCCTATGGACCTTGAACTCACACTTGACCTGTATTCCTGTGATCCCAACTCCTTTGCACCCTACTTTCTCTTCATTTGATGTATTTATCTCTTTAACCTAATACTTGCCAGGCATATTTCAGTTGAGCTCTTAAGGCCCCAAATTGACAGCTATTGGTCTATTATATGAGGTCAAGGTAACATTTCATACAATTTGATGCTCCTTCAGCAATTTTCCACTGTCCTTTCTCTCAGTGTATGATAATATGATGGATGGATTCACCTTCGTTTGTAAATACCTTGATTCTTTTCTACCCAGGGTGTGAGTCATCTTAGAAGCATAGGTGTGTACAGCAAATGAAACACCTGATTGAAACTTCCAGGCTTATCTTTGCTTGAATCATCAACAAATTTGTCTGTGTGTCTTACTGTCACTCCTTTACTCAAGTTTTGCGCTGTAGTCTGGTGCCGTTTGGCTGTGCCTTTCTTCTTATTCCTGACTACCTTATCTTGACTTCATGCTTAAAAGGTCAACACTATTATTAGTTACTTACAGAGCTCTCCCCCTTTCTATGTTTTCAAATGTACAGTATCCACACAAAAAGGATTGGAATGGGGAAAAGAATAATCCATTTAGTCAATTACTACAATGATTAGTAGACAAGCTATTTTCAACTTAATATTTCTTTTTTCACTTCTAAAACTGATGTACAGTAAAAGAAAAGATATGATTGGTAATTTACAATAAGTAAATTAGTGCCTATGAGACACTAGATTTTGTACAACTAGAACTAAAAGAAAATACAATTACCATAAGCCAGAACCTTTTGATTAACAGCCAAGAAAATATGTGCTTTCTCTAAATTTCACATACACAGAGAGCAGAGGATTGAAATTATAACCAAAAGATAACACTCATGGCAACTAATCTATGTTCCATAAAAGATTTACTATTTGCACAATTCCCTAGTCAGGTAAGCTTTTTTTGTGAAAAAAAAAATGATGTAACAATGAAAATTTTTAGCATTTTTTTTTCTTTAAGACCAAGTATCTGGAAGACACCAACCTAATCAGATATCATCTACTGTGACACCATGGGTCATTAAATAGCAAGTTCTACCCAAACATGTTGGCACAATTCTAACCCTCAGGAGCTAGAATCAAAAGAGTCACTCCAAGTTTGAGACCAACATGATCTATTTAGTAAGTTCCAAGCTAGCTAAGGCTACATAGTAAGATGCTGTCTCAAAGAACAAATAAACAAGCAAAAAGAAAAACCCTAATGTTCTTCACGGGGGTGTAGAATTCCAAAATATTACTGCCATATCCCTACTCTAAGAGCCTATATTATAGAACTAACAGATATAAAAATAAAAGCCATGCATAGTACTTCAGAGACCAAAATGGGGGGATCACCACAAGTTCAAATCAGCCTGGGCATTAGTTTCAGGTAGCATGGATTGTATTTCAAAACAGAGTAAGTAACCATCAAGGTAGCTTGGGGGAGCCGGGTGGTGGTGGCACATGCCTTTAATCCCAGCACTAGAGAGTCAGAGGCAAATGGATTTCTGTGAGTTCGAGGCCAGTGTGGTCTATAGAGCTAGTTCCAGGACAGCCAGGGATACACAAAGAAACCCTGTCTCAAAAAGCCAAAAAAAAAAGGTGAAAAAAATAAGAAACACATATATTCTATAAAGTGTTTGAGTGCTTTCTCCTTGTGAGCTTTAGGGACATCACAGATGTACTGAATCACCTAGTTCACTCAGTTATCAAGGTTTTTCTGACTCAGCTTAACTTCCTGAATGAAAGTGCTTACTTAAATCAGTTGAGACTTACACTAGCTGTTGAGTAGCAAATGTAGGCACTACCCATCAGACTTAGAAAGTGCCAGAAAGTGCCACGAAACCAGTGTGTAATGGTATAATGGTCAAGAGCACAGGATCTAGCTGGGTGTGGTGGCTTGCTACTGTAATCCCAACCAGAAAGGCTAAAGCAGAAGGACTACCATGGGTTCAAGACCAGCATGTGTTGAAGGGTGAGTTCTGGGTCAGCTTGGAGCAGAGTAAGAGAGACCCTATCTTAATAATAAAACAAGCACACAACAGTCATGTTGGGCTGCCCAAGTTTAATGCTGTCTTCATCTCTGCCTGGTTCTATAACCTTGAGCAGGGTAGTTAGCATCTCTGTCTCAGTGCCCTCCTTGGTATAATGACGTATAATTGTATTGCCTTCACAGGTCATGAGAAGAAAATGAGCTAATGCATATAAAGCTCTCCCACAGTGTCCGGTACCTGATAAGCTCAGAGCAGTAAATGGTGGCTGTTAAAGCAGTAATTGAGAGGCAATGCAGGGCTATATGTTTATAACAAGTATAAGGCCAACTTAGTAGCCACAAAACAGGTTCATAACTTCCATGTATTCTTTTGGGGGTGTCACTTAGTGTTTTGATTGCTGTGATAAAACGCCATAACCAAAAGCAACTTAACAAGGAAAGGATTTATTTCCATCACAATCTGTCATGGAAGGACATCAGGGCAAGGACTCAAAGCAAACATCTGGAGGCAGGAACTGAAGCAGAGGCCATGGAGGAGTGCTTTTTATGGGCTGGTTCTTCATGGCTTGCTCAGACTGCTTTCTTACAGCACCCAAGACCACCAGCTTGAGGATGGCAGCAGTCAGTGAGCTCTGACTTCTCATTTCAATTATCAAGGAAAAAACATGTACCACAGGCTTGCCCATGGGCCACTGTGTGGAAGCACTTTTGCAACCAAGGCTCTTTTTCCAGGACAGATAGTGGCAGTGCTGGATAGTGGTGGTTGGTGCAGGCCTTTAATCTCAGATCTCAGGAGGGAGAGGCAGGAGGATCTCTGAGTTTAGCCAGCCTGGTCTACAGATTGAGTTCCAGGACAGCCAGGGCTGTTACACAGAGAAACATTGTGCCAAAAAAACAAACAAAAGGTTCCCTTTTCCAAATAACTGTAGCATGTGTCAAGTTGACACCCAGGGGTTATTTTAGAAGAGTGATAGCAGAAGTAACATCCATGTTGGACCATCAGGAAATCTGTATGATCATAGGGTACTTTTATAAGCATTTTTGCTTTGTAAAAACTTGATATGAGGGCTGGGAAGATGGCTTCATAGTTGTGGGAACTAGTTGCTTTTGTAGAAGACAGGGGTTCAGGTCCTAGCACCCACAAAGGACATTCATGTGACATGTAACTCAATTCTGGAGATCCACTGTTTTTTTTGTTGTTGTTGTTGACTCTGTGGGTACATGCACTACGTGGTGCACATACAGACACTTTGATAAATAATAAATAAATGCTGGTGTGATAGATAGCACTTGACTCATAAAGCACCTGAGACTAAGAGGTGGAGGCAATGTTTTAAAAAGGCCTGATACAAAGGCTTTTGAAATTCCAAGTTTCTTAATCTTCTATAGAACAATATGTAATATAGGAAAATGACAATGGTAAAATACAATTATTGAATTAGCAGAGTATGCAATTTGACTTAGTTTATTTCAAAATTCAGTCACTCTTGCATATGTTATTTTAATATGAGATTTTAAAGGGGTACTGTAAGTGTACTTATGGACAAAGCTTGATTTTTTTCTTAATTAATTAATTAATTAATTAATTAATATTCTGGGGTTTTTTTTGTAGACAGAGCTCAATATAGAGCCCAGAATAACCTTGAATCGGTGGCAATCTTCCCACCTTAGACATACAAACACACACACACACACACACACACACACACACACACACAACGCACGCACGCACGCACGCACGCACACACACACACACACACACACATGTCCAGTGCTGGAATCAAAGGCATGTTCCAGCACAATTTGCTAAATTTACTTCATAGTAAAGAATAGGTCTTAAAGTCATTTCAAGTTTATAATACAAATGCAGTATGTCATCAATTATTCTCATTTGAATATTCCAAATGAAATTGCTTTTAGATTTGATATTTTAAAACCAACTATCATTGTTAAGCATAAATAACATGCACATGACTACCAACCTGTCTTCCTTATTCTTCAAATTTGTTATGAACTGGAAGTTAGGCCTAACCATTCTGTAATAATTGATGCTGAAGCCCATGGAGAAAGAATGGATGTGAGGTCAAACATTCACATTAAAATGTAAAGGATAGTCTATTATCCAAAAGTATTCATAATGATCCACACAGATACATCTAAATGTATTTCTATCCTAAGAAATATATGGAACCTGAATAGCTTTTATATTCACATGTTTTATGGAAAAGGCATGAACCACATGATCCCCAGTTACTTTCTAGCTCTCCAAGCCTAAGACATTCCAGTACCTTTATCAGAGACTTATCAGCTCAGAATGCCATAAAAAAAGGCAACCTCTTACATTCAAAATGAGCTCTAAGAATTGTCAAAGGTTATTTAGTACTAACCTTGCTTTATGAGCAGTCATATTTTAAATGATTATATTCATGCCATTTACACTTTAAAATGTGGGACATCATCAGCTGCTTCTTATGCGTTCTAAGTAATGACAGACCAAAAGGGACAAACCCTCAATACATGTTGTATATGAAGATGTTACATACCATCCAACCAGATCCAGGAGTTATGTTAATATACTCTTGTTTCTTCTGTCTTCTACATAATAACATGACACCATGTACTATCATACAGATGTTGACAAGTAGAACATGGAGGACATCTAAAACAAACTCTACTTTTCATTGACTACTGCAGTTGCCCATTAAACATTGTGTTAGAGGATCCCATGTTTCATTCTCTAATTACCAATGATACAACAAAGAATACAGACAATGCCTTCACTGCACTGACATTCCCATTTTTGAGATGGACACTAAACATAATACAACCACATTTACAAAATGGTAAATAGTGAAAGGCATTTATTTAAAATAAACCTGATGAGCTCGAGAGATGACTCAGTGATTAAGAGTGCTTGTTGCGAATGGAGAAACCTTGAGACAGCCAAGAAAGCAGAATATGAAGGCATGATGGGTGGCTATCCGCCAGGCCTTCCACCTTTGCAGGGCCCAGTTGATGGCCTTGTTAGCATGGGCAGCATGCAGCCACTTCACCCTGGGGGGCCTCCACCTCACCATCTTCCGCCAGGTGTGCCTGGCCTCCCAGGCATCCCACCACCCGGTGTTATGAACCAAGGAGTAGCCCCCATGGTAGGGACTCCAGCACCAGGTGGAAGTCCATATGGGCAACAGGTAGGAGTTTTGGGGCCTCCAGGGCAGCAGGCACCACCTCCATATCCCCCCCCAGCTGGCCCCCCTGTCATTCAGCTGCCAACAACACCCATGTTTGTGGCTCCCCCACCAAAGACCCAAAGGCTTCTCCACTCAGAGGCCTACCTGAAATATATTGAAGGACTCAATGCTGAATCCAACAGCATTAGCAAGTGGGACCAAACTCTGGCAGCTCGAAGACGGGATGTCCATTTGTCAAAAGAACAGGAGAGCCGCCTACCTTCTCACTGGCTCAAAAGTAAAGGGGCACACACCACCATGGCAGATGCCCTCTGGCGCCTTCGGGATTTAATGCTTCGAGACACTCTTAACATTCGACAAGCATACAACCTAGAAAATGTTTAATCTCATCACTGTGTTTCTTCTATAGAAGCAAA